GCCAGTGCTCTGGGAAGAGAACTCAGCATTGCAAAATTCCTGGAGGGAAACAGGTTATGGCCTTACTGACTTTTTTCCTAAGAAAATAAAACTTAACTCTCCAGAGGAAGTCCTTTCATTGGGCCCTCCAGGACACAAAGAGAAGAACTGCGTCTGGAGTCCCTGGTTGGTTTGGTCAACCTTATGCGACCATAAACCACTCCTCTCTCTCCATAAATCCAGCTTCCCTTCCTCCAATACAGGGCTGAACTCTCTTCTGAGCATTGGTCCTTTTCATGGTGGATATGAACTCTTTTGGGTTTAGGGATTATCAGCAACCTTCAGAGGAAGTACTTCTAGAAAAACATGTTAAGATGAGAATGATAATGTAGCACCACAGGTACTGATAGAAGGAACCCTAACCCATAATTTGGGGGGAGCCCCAAAGAAGAGGGGTTAGCCAGATGCAGGGAGCAGGGGCTGGGGGCAGGTGAGGGAAGTATTCTAAGCCAACTGTAATCTATGTTGGGAAACTGAGTATTTTCTGAAGATACTGAACCCCTGGTCAGACTCAACCACTTTTTATAAAGTGGTGAAAATGTGCTGAGCATTGCTATCTGCTTTATATATATAATTTTTATGAAAACTCTGATTGAGGAGTTATTCCTATTTTGAACCTCTCTGGTTTCCTGGTATTAAGGACCCCATCCTCACCCTTACCCTCAGGCTCAAGCAGGTTGGCTGTGCTCTCCTTTTTGTCTCTGCCTTTTGCTCTCCCCTCCACAGAGCTGCTACTAACAGCTTTTCTTGGGAAATTCTGTCCCACAAGACTAATTAGAAAAACAGACATTTTTATGGCCTTCTAAAAAGTATCTTTTTTTGTAGGTTTAGATAGTAAACTTACTGAGGGAAACAGACTGTTAAAAACAAAACAAGACAGGAAAATGCTAAACTGAGCAAAACACTCTAAGATATCAAAAATCACAAATGCAGGAAGTAAACAGAGGTGCTGACTCTACTTCGACCGTGTGGAAAAGGGTAAGGATGATGTCATGACCAAAATGAACCAAGTGGAGGGAAGGAACATTCCACACACCTGAAAGGGCTCTAACTACTCTCTTAACCATGTGACAAGCAAGAACAAATCTGGCCAACAATAGTGAGTCTTACAGAACATGGTGCCCTCCACATAGCACACAACCAGCCACAATCTTCATGCCTTGAGGCAGGGGTCCTCAAACTTTTTAAACAGGGGGCCAGTTCACTGTCCCTCAGACCATTGGAGGGCCGGACTGTAGTTAAAAAAAAAAACAACTATGAACAAATTCCTATGCACACTGCACATATCTTATTTTGAAGTAAAAAAACAAAACGGGAACAAATACAATATTTGTATTTGCATGTGGCCTGCGGGCCATAGTTTGAGGACCCCTGCCTTAAGGGATTTAAAATCTAGTTAACACATGGAATAATGTTAGACATGACGAAGAACAGAGGAGTACAGGAGGAAAAAAAAAGAGATAGAAGACAAGAACTCTGTTTTCACTGGTGAAATGTAAGAAAACATACTACTGCTGGTTGAGGCAAAAGAGAAGACTGGTAAAATGAGTTCTGTTCCAATTAAAGCCTCATGTTCTGTACAATTCTCTTTCTACTGAGCATTTTTATAAAACTATAAAAATTCCAGCTAGTGCAGAAAAGATCTGATTTATTAATGCATTTAGCTTTCAGAATGTTCAGTTGGTAATAGCATGATCATTTCAAGCACTAGAGATTCTACATGTTCATTAGGGAGATGGTTTCTGGGAAATTTTAATTTTCTATTGATGGCTAATTATAGAAGTGGATGTACTTTAAAGTCTTAGTATACTCAATCACATTATCTCCTTTTTTATCAAGTGTAACTCCTCAAAATGAATAGTAATGATCCACTTAGATGAAGAACAAAAAATAGCCCAGTTAAAAAAAAAAAAGAAAATGATGATACACAGTGATATAGCCAAACTCTGCTGCAACACAACCAGACATGTCTCTTGAGGTTTCATAGTGTGGATGGACACACACACACACACACACAAACACACTTTCATATGTATACATGTGTCTATATTCCCGTGTGTGTGTATATGTGTGTGTATATATATATGTGTGTGTATATACCTATGTATGTGTGTACATGTACAGTGTTGAGGAGCATGAGATTCCAAATCAGGGAGCAGGAGGCTAAACCCAGCCCTGCCCTTAGCTGCACAATTTTCTTTGAGACGTTGAGTGTGTTAGTTTCTCTAAGCTTCAGTTTCCTTATCCATAAAAAAAGTTGGAAGTAATACCAATCTTATAAGTTTGTGGAAATAAAAAGCAAACATCTACAAAGCACTTGGGTGAATGCCTAAAATATTGTAATGGTTTAAAAATTATAGCTATTAATGATCAAGAAAGCCTGTCACAATCATTGGTCATGTGGTCACATCCATACTTTAATAATATGCACACATTTATTCACATATACAAAGGCTCATACATATGTTATTTATTGCATACTACAATGTCTCAGTGACCAAAGGACATGCATGAATGTCAGAACTAGTAAGAAAGACACCAGAATTCAAACATATGGCTACCCAATTCAGTGCTGAGAATTTACGTATTACTTCTGAACAAATAAGGACAGAAGGTAAGAAACTGGTTGGAGAATCCCGTTCTTCAGGGACTATGCTATAGGCTGTTGCCATTTGAGACTGACATCCATCTATATCATTGGAGAAGTGGTCTTTTTCAACCTCTTAATATGTATCTAACACTGAGGTCTGGCCTGTACCTGCCTCTTTCCCAGGCTGGTGTAAGCTTGCCAGCCCAGTCACTATGGTAGATTTAGTGGCCAGAACTTAGTACTCAGAAATGCAGCACACTAGCTTCATTTCTTGGTTAACAGCTTGTCTCTGGATCCCTAGTATCATTAATAAAATGTGTCTTGGTGCAAAGTCCAAGGTAGATCCACCTACATAGAAGCAAGAGTGCTTCCTCCTTTCTCCTACAGCAGGATAGGTGTTGGGAATGTGCTCCTAAAGGACAGTAGGTGGGGACTTCATACCCATGTAAGCACAGCTCCACAGCCCTGGATGCTGCCACAGAAGTTTCCATAAATCTGCAGGGCAACTGCAGGACAGAGTTCCTGTCTTTATATATAACCAACCTCTACCTTTCTTTGTCTTCCTATCGGCTTCTATTCTTTGCTAAGTCTCTTCTCCAGGAATATTCTATCAGTCACTCATCAGAAAGTCAAAGTAACTGTCAAAGGAAAAACAATCTTCCAGCTAGGGCATGCTGTGTGGCCTCCTTGGCCGAAAGCCTCTTACCACACAGTCTCCTCACAGTCTGCAAACCCCAACCAAACCAACCGGCTGCACTGATGTAGTGGTGCAACTGCTCCTGCCCCCCTCCCTCCCACATGACACCTATTTAGAGCATTCGTCTGTATACTAACTTGGCTTGATTGTAAAGCCCTCTCCTATGATGGGTCCCTGTTTGGAAAAACTGAATCCTGGGCTTTACCCACTCTGTCTCTCCATCCTTTGAGAATTGAGATCCAAATATCTAAGTTCTTCATTAGCCATGGGCACAAATTTAACATTCTACCGAGCCAAAAAGTAAAATTATTTCCCTCAGGAAGTTTAGTATTAAAGCTAAAAAAAGGACACTTTTAAGAGGGTCATATAAATATCATGAGGAATATCAATAATAAAAATAGGAAGGAAAAAAGGAAGGAAGGAAGGAAGGAAGGAAGGAAGGAAGGAAGGAAGGAAGGAAGGAAGGAAGGAAGGAAATTATTTCAGTTAGGCCAACTCAGTAAGAATTACTCATTGTATCTGAGAGAGGACTGATGTCCACCATATTGCTGGACCATGTAACAACAAGCATTTAGCAACTGTAGTTCTATTTCAAGGAACATTTAACCCATGATCTAGCTAAGTCAGTGTAGTTAGGAGACAAATCTTAAAAGTCATTTGACTAAACTTTCTCATTATTACCACTTAATAAGGAAAAAAATCAGGAGTTGTCACTTCTAAGAAATTTTAACAAAGCATGTGGAAATATGTTAGTAAATATCTTTACCATAAATTAGATGTCAGTTTTCTTACTGTTTCCTTGACAGATGGGCTCTGAGAAGACTTTGTCAGCGAAGAACCAACTTCACAGCCACTACTCACAGCAGCTCTGGCTCTATGTCCAGAACCTGGACCTAAGTCTTCCACAGGAATGCTGGGCAAAAACAGCCGAGATTTATCATTTGAAAGTAGGAATCACATTAGATACTAATAACCTCAGAAAGGTCAACATATGACAAATAAAATGTGAATATATACCAAATAAAGTAAGGACATATGTGTGATGCTGAAAACTCGTTTATATCGTTATATTAAATCAATTCCCATGTAGAATTACTATTTATTCCTGAAAAATCTTGTTCCAGGGTTTGTGGGTGGTCACAATTAAATAAAATCAGTGGTGATTTAATATTAACAACAGTAGTCATATACCATTTGTCTCTTATTTCGTGAAAGAGGCTGTTAAACTAAAGTTCTAGTTTAGCCTGCGGGTGGGGGAGGTACATATAGAAAGAAAACAAAACAGGGGCAAAGTCAATTGAAAAAAAAACTTTAGTCAAATCTGGAGGAAGGAGAATGTTCCAGGTGAAGTGTAATGATTCTGGGATAGAAACAAGGTAGGGCTAGTCAAAGGGGAATGAGGAGGCCAGAGCTGTTGAGGTGGAGTGAGGAGAGCACTGGCCATGGAGTGGGAGCTGGAGTTTATTCCAAGCAGAGCAGGCACTACCATTGAGGGGTTTCTTGCATGGGTGTAAGGTGATCTGATACGTTTTTTAAAAGCATAACTGGCCGTAGCATGGAGAATACACACAATGAGGATGCATAAAGTAGTACTGAATGTTAATAAAACGCAAAGCTTTCAGTGTGGTGGGAACAAGAAAAGTCAAAGGCTGTGCAATATAGGAAATAAAGCTGGCTGGGCAGGTGTGGCACAAATCATGTAGGGTTGTGTCTGTCAATTAATAGATTACTGTGATCACTTTCACAATTGAGATGACATAAATTAAAAAGAGTTCTATATCTTTATATTTTCACTAGAGGCCTGGTATACGAACTACATGTATGGGTACGGTCCCTAGGCCTGGCCTGTGATCAGGGTCATCTTCCCTGGCTTCCTGCAGACGGCCCCACCCCTTACCACCACCCACCCCTGGTTCCCCATTTGCCATCGGGCAATTGGAGCCTGACGACCAGGGGAAGGGACCGAGAGGTCGGCCTTCCTGCCTGCTTGCTGGCCCCGCCCCCACTGTGGGTTGCCCTCTGGGTGTGGAGCAACTAGTGGGGCGGGGGCCTTAGCCTGGTACCACCTGCATCCCCTGCCACCCACCCCAGTTCCCCGTTCACCATTGAGCAATCAGAGCCTGCTGACTGGGGGAAGGGACCGAGAGGTGGTCAGTGCACCTCACAGTGACTGGTTGAGCGGTCGTTCTGGTCGTTCTGCCATTAGGGTAATTTGCATATTACCCTTTTATTACATAGGATACTGTATGGGTCTTTTAACAATTGGATAATAGTTCATACCAAATGAAATATGTAAAATGCACTACCCTAGAGCACAGGGATTCCTCTCTGAGCTTTTGTTCCTTCTTTGGCCAAATAACAACAGTGCCTGCCTCACAGAGCTGTGCTGAGGATTAAACAAGAAATACAAACAATCTGTATCAATTCCTCCTGTTATGAAACAATACACACACAAAAAATGTATTTTAGTTTTGGGATGGATTTTAAAATTTAACTTAAATCTTAATAAATAACTCTAGGTTAAAGCATTATCCATAAAATGGCCTCACAACACTGGCTGTGGAGGGGAATAACATCATTTCATCACTCAACAAATATTACAGAGTGCCCACTTTCAGTCAGGAGCTATTCAGGACTCTAAGGACACACAGGTGAATAAGACAGCCTCTGTTCTCATGCAGTGAGTTAGCGTTGAGTGAAAAATATATAGAAAATAAGCAAGTTAGAATGTAAAACATTAAAAGAAACAGAAACAATGAGTAGATATTTAAAAATAGTAATCAGTGCTCTAGAAAAAATAGAAAAAGGATGATATGGTTTGACAGTGTGCCTTGTCAGAAGTGGGGTGGCCTATTTTAGATGGAGTGGTCAGGGAATGCCTCTCAGAGGCTTGGAGTTATGCAGAAGACATGGCCCGTCCATAATAAAGGCCATACGCAATGGAAGACTGACATTCAGACAGACAATTCCACTTGACTGGGAAGCACTGCTCACCAGTGTGGGTCAGACCATACTATATAATAAAAGGCTAATATGCAAATCAACCAAACAGCAGAATGACTGGTCACTATGACACACACTGACCACCAGGGGGCTGATGCTCGATGCAGGAGCTTCCCCCTAGTGGTCTGCTACCCCACAGGGGGAGCACTGTTCAGCCAGAAGCTGGGCTCACAGCTGGCAAGAGCAGCAACGGTGGCAGGAGCCTTTCCCTCCTCCACAGCAACGCTAAGGAGCCCTCGGGGGGATGTCCGCCTGTTGGCTTAGGCCTGCTTCCTGCCCCCCAGGGGTCCTGGACTGTGAGAGGACACAGGCCTGGCTGAGGAACCCTCCCCCTGCCCCCAGTGCATGAATGTTGTGCACTAGGCCTCTAGGAATAAATAATTATTGAAACTGAATGATGTAATATGATCATTGCAACAGAGGCTCTGTGAATACCTTTGTGGTCAGGGGGACCCCAAAGGAGAGAACACTCAAAGTGAGAGTTGAATGAAATTTGACTGGTGTACATGTTTCAGAGAACGTTCAAACAAAGGAAGTAGTGTGGACAAAAAAATGGAGGTATGTGATAAAACATAACTATAAGCAATTCAGAAACCTGCGAAGCAAAGTGAGGGCTAAAGAGAGGGGGCCAGGAGTGAAGGGTACCTGTGCCAGGCTCAGGACTTGATCATTTATCTTCACAGTAACAGGGCTGTGAAAGGCTTTTGAGTAGAAGAGTGAATGATGGGATGTGAGTGTTAGAGCGATTACTGTTTAGTAAGTGTGGAACATAAAAGCTCCTCTGTCTTTTCTTGCACTTTATTCAAGGAGCTCCTATGCAAAAACAGCAGGTGGGGGTAGGGGGGTGTGGATTCAGAGACACCTGGTCTGAATGTCTGAAAAGCAACTTCAATAGGTTTGTAGTAGAGTGAGGATAAGAGTTTTCTTCCAGGAAAACATTCTCTTCATTCTATTAGGTATCCAAAATATTTTACTTGAGAAGTCTCATGTCAAGAAAACTCTAGCATGCAATGATTATAAATGCATACACGTATGACAATTAGATAATAAGCCACACAAAATATGGGTTCATGATTTCATAGTTATACCTTATATATGCAACATTTTCCATTCTTGGACCACATTACCGTAATCTGAATTAGTTGCCTGCCGTGAGTAGGAAGGTAAGCCTGTTTCATTTTATTATTCCCAGTCCTCACAAAAGAAAATGAAAAGGTTTGGAAGAAAAGTAAGAAATTTAGTGCATTCTATTCTTTCTTGTCTCCTTTGTAAAATTTGGTTCCAATCTTAATTGCTTTTCTTGTTACTATTATTTTCTTTCTTTTTGTGTTGAAACATTGATAATCACTTTTCAATAGTGTAATTTCACTCACTTGGATTTATATAATTGCGGTACACTCACCTTTTCCAGTTAGGTAATGAAGAGTTTCTCTTTATTTCTGCAGTGTCACTGCACAGCTCCTGTTTTTCTTCACAAGGACATAAACAAAATGAAGTCAGTCACTTTTTGATTACCACATAATAAACGGAAAGAAGTACTATCAGTTCATTAACTACCTGTATGCAATTTGGCTTTGTATTCAAACTACCTTTTGTAAAACTGCACCAATATGTCCTCAAGGCAGTATATAATAACCTTTTTAACAAAGTGTATATAGCATATGTAATACCCAGGGGACTCTCTAACTTGTTTTTTCATGATTTCTTTGTAGTGATGCTCACTGTCTGCTATTGCTGTGCTTGGGGTAACTTGACTGGGGCTGTTCAGATTCCCTGTTCTCACTAACCTCTGCCCTGACAACCATCCGTCTTCCCTTTGGGTTCAGATTCAAAGATGTCCTGCCAGATCCCAATCAGAAATGTGTCTCGATAGAGAGTGCAACTTTAAAGCAGGAAGAGACCTAGAGTTACCTAATCAGTCATCTCACTCAGAGAACCTCAGAACTGCAGGTTCAGAGAAGTCAGTGACTTGTTTTCAGTCCACAGAGAGGCAGAAATGCTTCAACACCCTTGGATTGGTGTTAAGAGTTTTGGGAGACAGTACAAGAAATAAATCAACATGTCCTTCCACCTATCTCTAGAATTCTTTGTGATATCTGTCCAAATAGCTAGTTATCAAATAAACCCTTAGCAAGAAGTTTAGAATCATCAAAGGCCATGAGGAACAGGACAGAACAAGGAAAGTTTAGATGGTGTGTAAATGGTGAAGCTCTGCTGACTCCTTTAAGGGAACGTAAGAGAGGATAGAGGTTGTCCAAACACACTGAAGGTGCTATTGGTTTTGCTTACCGACTTGCATGCAAAATGAAGTTTTTTAATCCAACAGTCAACTAATCCATAATTACAGTCATTTGAAAGTATTTCACAATTTGTTTCTTCTAAATCCAGGGTGATTGTTGGAAATTAAATATTAATTTTAGGGTCCAAATTGTTTTAACAATTTTTCCATTACAATTGGGAAACCCAACAGGCACATAATTGAAGGTCTGTTAATAGTTTAAAACTTCTGTAAAAGATTGGCTTTAAAATTTAGAGTTCCTTACAAAACAAATCCTGATTGTAAATATCAAATTATCCTAATTAAGATGGAAAAGAAAAAGTGTGATTTCTTAGGGACCTCACTAATGAGTTCAAATATGAAGATGGGAATGAATGGGTGATTAGGTTACCTAAGCGACGAAGTATGAAGGGAGAGCTTACAACCAAATGTGGACACAAAATGATGGCATGGATCAACACAAAAATGATTGTGAATAATGAAGCCAAAATGAGCTGAGACTTGCTAATGAGACAATAATAAGATGACAATGAAAATAATGTACTTACTGCTTAGGCCTAATGGTATAATATTAAAGTAAAAGAGAGAATACATAGTAAAAGAATAAATGGAGACTAAGAAAATAAAATTTCCTGAGTCCAGCTCGTTCCCAGCTTCTATATCCAGGGAAATTGTCTTTAAACTGAATAACATAAGATGGCAACTTTATGTTTAAAATAAAGTTCACATCTCTCACCTGAGACAAATCAGACCCCAAGGAGATGAAGGAACTAATAAATGTGATCACTCTTGTTGATCTCAGAGGAACCATGATAAGCAGGAAAAGGATTAAATGATTGAAAATAGGGGAATGCCATTATAATTTTCAAAACAGATTCTGAAAATTATAGACCTAATATCAGTCCTCAGCAAATTATAAAACAGAATTCAATGAGAAGGGTAACGTAAGTCTAGTGTTGGGTGTTTCAGTCAGTGTGGCAGTAGTGCTGGGGGCACGATTCTCAGGCAGGAGGTATCTTTCTGCCCTTTCAAAACACATGCAGTTGGTGGCTGTTTATTCTTCCCTCCTCCCGCTTCTGAAATGACTAATTTAATTTTTTTTTTTACATCCAAACTGCTCCCAAAGTTGCTACCTATGTCCCACAGAAGTTATGTCACACAGTCATATTGAAAACAACTCAAACATTATAGCTAATATATATAAACTGAATTCTATTTTTTACCTTTTTTCATAAGGGGAACTTCCTTTTTTTCATGTTTCAAGAAAACACTGTCGTCACTTTGATCTAAAATCTGAAAAACAAGCTCTTTATTTAAAGCTGTACAAAAACATAGGACGTAGCATTGGGTGCAAAAACGACCTTGAACATCAGTGCCCGCATCAAAGGAGAGACCACAGCATTGCCCGAAGTACAGTTTTACGTGTATGTTATGAAGGGTGACAATCACACGTGTTGTAGGAAATTATTGTGGCATGCATCACCAGGATGAGTGCATTATAAACTGTCATATTCACTTCTATCATTTCTTTAAAGAGATGTTTACATTCTACCCATCTTTGCACAGATATTTTCAAAAATCCATTGTCTTGCATAGGTGTAATAATGACTCCAACAAATGAGCCAAGTATTTGATTCACCAGGAGCAACAAAGGAGCCTCTGCTATTTAGAAGAGGATCATCACACCTCCCGTTTGAACAGAGCAAGCATAGAGTATTAGCTCAACAGCAGTGCAATGAAAACACTGGGGAGGTTGAAGACTGGGGTCTGAGGCCCCAAAGCATGATGGGGAAGAAGATGGGGATTGAGATGGTGAAGGAAGACACACCTTGCCTTTTGACAGAATCCAAGAAAATCTGTCTAAAAGGCGCTATAAAGCCTTAATGTGTTAAATGCAAGGGCCAGGAGTGTTGGTGGCACCTGAGTGAGCAGATGTGTATGTGTGATGCTGGGAGTGGGGGGCACAGCGGGGGTGGGAGACCTGGGGGTGGCATATAGAAGCCAGGTCATCACTTCGGGAATCCTCTATGAGCCATTCATCAAGGCTCACACAAAACAAACTTACATTTTTGGAATGTATTTCTTTGGGAGAGGGTGAGAGAGTTCATGTCTTTTAGAAAAATAGTCCTAGAATGCTCCCCACATTATGTATTTTTGTGAATCTGTGAGAAGGGGGAACAGAGAAGGAAAATGGCAAAGGCAGAGGTAAGGCAAAGCTTCCATCCGCTGCTTGATCTGAAGACCCCTGAACACACACTGAGACACAGCCATACTCCCCACTTCCATTGCCTGGTGGAAGGTGGAGCTGTCGGTTTTCTGAGCTCGCCCACTGTGGATGTGGCTCTATCTCATGCCTCTCCACCATGCTGAACAAACGTGGGAGGCGGAGGCTCTCAACTCGCCTTCTCTCCTTTCCCAGGAAATGTATGCATGTCAGAAAGCAGGTGAAATGGGCACACATGCAGCCTAGCAGCGACAGAACGGAGGCTGTCCAGCATCACCGCTTTCTAGTTTACCCAAATCCAGGGGAAGAAAACCTTGTAGGCAGAGGAAGATAAATAAAACTGACACTAAGCTACTTTTGTGTGTTTAAAATATTTTTGTACTTATACTGTAAATAAACTCATGCTCCGGGAAGTAAATAAAGTACATGTATTTTTAAAAGTTCATTTTGCAAAATGGCCTTAAAATGTATCTTGTTTATTTCTGATATATCATAAAATTTAAAGGTTTCTTTTGATGTGCTGATATTTAAGGAAAATCTATATACTTTGTTAAGTGTTTCTCACTTTGAAGTAAATATGTTTTGACCAGTTTATAAGCCACATGAACTCTTAGCCACACGGGTAGCAGCAACCACAAGATAAGCTTACAAGAGGAACTATATAATGCCTTAAGTTATAACCACTTTGTTATCATCTATGATGATCCTGCTTAGGATGTGTTCCATTTTCTTTAATGAAAATCTTTCTTCTGATTAAAAACAGATAAGATGGAAGCAGCTAAGATTAATAAAAATGACAGCACTCCCAGCTAGGAACTTCTGTTGCTGGTGCTATTAACAGTTTCATAAATTATTTTTGCATTTCATTGTTTAGTCCTCTGCTTTGAGCTCTGCCTCTTGAAGGCTGATTTCATGAAGATCAGATATGTCCCTTTTCCCCCCAAAATGTTACTTATACAAAGATCTGCCATCTCTATCACAAGAATGAGTTCCTTCTTTTCCTTTCTAGTGTTTTCTTTATTCTTTGCCGTAGGAATGTTTAAAAGACTTTGGATGAATAATTCACAGCCTACAGTATTTTCTTTTACATAACACAGTGTAAATCTCTGAGTTCCTGGATGCTCCCTTCTATGACAATGTGCTTGTGGCTTTGAAGGTCTGAATGTCTTCAAGCTGAGACGAGGAGACGGGCAGGTAGCTGTCTTCATTAAACACCATTTGTGTACTTTGCTATTTATAAAGCTCTTTCATATATATTACTCCATTACAGAAATGTCTGCAGCCTGTACGCTTACCTCTGCAGTTTAGGGATATTGTTTTCCTAAAATTTCACTCAGTCATGAAATAGATAACACCTCCCACACAGTAAATGAGATTATAGTTAAGTCTGAACAAGGGGCTTTCAACACCTTAATTAAAATTACGTTAACAATGAGCAGAGTGGAATTGTCAGTCCCCAAGGGATGCAATGGATTGGCATCATACCCAAAACTCAATTTTGTGAAGTATCTGTTTAACAGGATAAATACATCATAAATAAGTTAGGGAAAGAAAAAAGAACACACCACAGTCAGCTGTGTAACCCTTACCTGATTCAACTGATGTTAAGGAAGCTTAAGGACTGATTGGTTTTACTTTGCCTGGCTTCTTTCCATCTATTTCTTTGTCCCTCAACCCTCTACCCCAAGCATTTATCATCGTCGAGGACCCATGAAGGCTCCCAGACCGGTAAATGCCTTTCCGTCAAACGCAGACCCTTTCTGTTTTCACTCCTCCATAGTTAACATTGTGTTCTAGGCTCCTCCCTTTCTGTCATTAATTTATTCAATAAAATCGATCCCCAGTCTGGTCAGATACTGTTACAGAGAAGAGACAAAGTACTGCCTTTTTGGAGCTTATTTTCTAGTGAAGGGGGAAAAAGGATATGAACTCAATAAAAAAGACAGATATGTAATACAGTATCAGGTAATGTAAGTTCTGTGAAGAAAAGCAACACAGGCTCGAGAAAGGTACGTCATTACGGAGCCCAGCTGCTTCTGGGCCTCTTTGTTCTCATTCCACGCCCTCATTTCTCCTCACCAGACACTTTGCCAAGCATCCAAGGAGCCTCCTCTCGCAAGGTTATTAATGTATTTGCTATTAATATGCTTGTTCTCCTAATTTCCTTCTAGTCTTTCCTCAAACATCCCCACTTTATACAAAATTGAACCTCACCGTCACCACTAGTGCTGGCACTTCCTATCTGCTGCTTCTGCTTTATTTTGCCCCCTAGTACTTATCATTACCTGCCATGCAGCATATTTTACTTATTTATCTTGTCCATTTTCTTTCACAAGCAATTTCACTCTCTCAATTTTTTTAATATATTTTATTGATTTTTTACAGAGAGGAAGGGAGAGGGATAGAGAGTCAGAAACATCAATGAGAGAGAAACATTGATAAGCTGCCTCCTGCACACTCCCTATTGGGGATATGCCCGCAACCAAGGTCCATGCCCTTGGTCGGAATTGAACCTGGGACCCCTCAGTCCGCAGGCCGACGCTCTATCCACTGAGCCAAACCAGTTAGGGCTCAATTTTAATTGTTTACTCCCATCTTCTGGCCCATCCAATAGATGCTGAATTTGTTTTCTTTAGAATTACAGAAGGAGATTAAAACAATATTTCTCTTAACACATAAAAATTATTTTCATTCTGTCACAAATCATCCCACTCATTCACATAACAACCTTGAGAGTAGGTAATATTATCCTTATCTAATAAAAGACAAATAGAGTAATAAACCATACCGCCGATACACTTCCCATTGGCTAATCGGGATGATATGCAAATTAACTGCCAACAAAGATGGCAGCTAATTTGCATACTTCAGGCAGGGCGGGACAGCGCCATCCCGCCTGCCCTGCTGCCATCTGGGCCTGCTGTGACCCGGGCAGCAGGCGGCCCATATGGGACACGACCAAGAGCTGGCGGGCGGGACCACAGTGATGTGCCACCGGCCACACCCACAAACGGACCTCCTGCACATATCTGCCACTGGCCATGCCCACAAATGGCCCTCCGCGGTAATCCAAGGCTGGCGGGTGCTAATGCACCGATCTGCCAACACGCACACCATGCTGCCTTTGCCTTGCACAAATTATGCAGCTGGGAAAGGGGAGTAGGGCCGCTGGGAGCAGGGTGGAAACTGCCCAGGGTTTGCGTCAGGCAGCCCAGAGTGGAGTGCGCACTA